GCGTTCCCGGAACGCCGGACCCCCTTCGCGCTTCGGGGGAGCGAGGGGTGCGCAGGCTTGGTGTTGTGGTCATCGAGCGGGTGGGGCGGACCCCCTTCATCCCCCATAGCACAAAGGGGGTCCGGCGTTCCCGGAACGCCGGACCCCCTTCGTGCTATGCCCATCGTCGGATCGGATCTCGGACCCCCGTCCTCCCCCACGGCACAAAGGGGTCAGGCGTTCCCGTCCTCCCCCGCCGCACATAGGGCGTCCGGCGTTCCGGGAACGCCAGACCCCCTTTGTGCTGTGGCCATCGAGGGGCGCGAACGGACCCTCTTCTTCCCCTGCAGCACTTGGAGCTCTTGCCGGCGACGGGGAGGGAGGGGGCCCCTTACTCTCTGGCAGCACCGACATGGGTCCGGCGTTCCGGGAACGCCGGAACGCCGGATCCCCCTCGGTGCTGCTAGAGGGAGGGGGAGGGACGGACATGAAAGGGGTCTGGCGTTCCCGTCCTCCCCCGCTGCACATAGGGCGTTCGGCGTTCCGGGAACGCCGGACCCCCTTTGTGCTGTGGCCATCGAGGGGCGCGGACAGACCCACTTCTTCCCCTGCAGCACAAAGGGGGTCCGACATTCCCGGAACGCCGGATCCCCTTGGAGCTCTTGCCGGCGACGGGGAGGGAGGGGGGCCCTTACTCTCTGGCAGCACCGACATGGGTCCGGCGTCCGGGAACTCCGGACCCCCCTCGGTGTTGCTAGAGGGAGGGGGAGGGACGGACATGTGGTCGGGGGTCGGGCGTTCTGGGAGCAAATGACCCCCTTTCATAAATGCCCCGAGGGGGGCGGGCGTTCTGGGAACGCCGGACCCCCTTTCATAAACGAAAGTCGGGGGTCAGGCGTTCTGGGAACGCCGCACCCCCTTTCATAAACGACGGTCGGGGGTCGGGTGTTCTGGGAACGCCGAGCCCCCTTCCATAAAAGTCTGTCGGGGGTCGGGCGTTCTGGGAACGCTGGACCCCCTTTCCGGAGACGTCGGGGGTCGGGTGTTCTCGGAACGCCGGACCCCCTTTCAGAAACGAGGATCGGGGGGGCGGCGTCTAAGGAACGCCAGACCCCTTTCCAGAAACGAGGGTCGACTCCACATGCGAAGCGCTTCTGTTTGTTCCTCATTTGTTCTTTGCTTGTGCGTTTCCTTTGTTTGTGCCCTCTAGGTCAACCTGCTGCTTCGTCCTCTCGGGCATATGGCAGGTCAAAAATCTACAACAACAAACCATGGGCTCTGGATTGGGTTGGTGGTCTGCATAGGCTTGGGTGTGGGGCCGTCGTCTTCTTGAGCGACGACAATGGTGTGTGGGGGTGTTGAGAAATCTGAGAGCGCCATGAATACCTACGACGGGAGGACCTTCAGGACCTTCTTTCTTACGTCAGTTTTCGACAAGGATGGGAAAAATTGGGTGAAGGAAGACAAGAAGGTCGGCCTTGACTTGCGGCTCTTTCAAGGCTACGACGTCAAGGCTTTCTCCATGAAAGCGTTAGACGTGCGCGGGGACGGCACCGAGCTTCGCATGCTGACTGCGGAACAGTTCCTCAGTAGAACGAACGACTACCGTGTCACTGGCTGCCTTCCTGTCGTTGAAAGTTCCTTGGAGCTCACCAAACCCTTGGTGAAATTCAGCAGCCCAGCGGACCAACTGCCAGGCATTGTTAAGGAGTACAGGGAAGCCTTCTCGAGGCTGCCTCTAGACCAGCAAGCCGACTGCGCTTTCGTGCCCTTTGTCACGAGCTCGAGGAAATCGCGACAGACGCCATCCGCGTCGGTTGGGAAGAGGAAACAGTTGGCTGCTTGTCTAGCTCCGCCTTTGCCAGCCGAGTCGCCCTCGCCCTTGTACACGGTGAGGGGAGGTCACGATATCGCTCAATGTTCCAGTGAGGCTACGGAGTACGATGACAGAAATTTGTACGGACGCAATGCTGCGCGTGACAGTGCCCAGGAAGGTGCGACTGCCCTCACTGAGCGAAACGAGGAGGAAGAAGATGGGGGAAGCTGCGGTCCACGTGAAGACGACGGTGATGACGAGTATATGGACGTTGGGGATGAGAACATGCAGGACCAAAACATGCTTGCCGATGACGACGTCGGTGTCACGTCGGAGCATCGCCCTGGCGACATCCCCACCGGTTCTGTGGGAGCGGTTGTCGGTCGGCCCTTGTCGTCCCCTGTGATATGGCATTCGCAAGGCGGGAGTCAGGGTGGGCACGACTCGCAGGAGCACGGAGGATCAAAGTCGAGGAAAAGGACAAGAGAAACTTCTCCTTCTTCTTCCGCTCACAAGAGACAAGCGAGGACTGACGCTATTAATAAGGCTCGTGGAGCTCTGGTGGCATCCCAGGAGGCGAGACCTCCTCGGAAGACCAGTCAGGGGGGAAGATCTGGCGGTCGTGGCGGCGGCCGTGGTGGCGCAAGAAAAGGTAAGCAGATAGTGAGGGCTGAAGAACTGCGGGACTCAGGGGATGAGGGCGAGGGAGTGGGCCCTCGCATGCCCGACGATGATGATGAACCGCTTCAGCACGCTGCGCCCATCGACACGACGCGGTGTTTCTTCCTCGAGTATGACGAGCGGGGTTTTACTAAGCAAAAAGTCCTTCCTGTTCTTGTGGACGTCATGAAAATCAAACGCATTCCCTGCAAGAATATTCTTTTCAACCACCGCTCTTTGTCTGCGAACATTGTGTGAGGCATCGTGAATGCCATCGAGAGTTCCATCACCACGGAACCGGGGGCGTGGGATAGGCCTGAGCTCGTGCTTGCGCCGGTTGACCGCAACGACATCGTTGGTGGGCAGGGTAGGTGGATAACACCGACTGAATTCTTCGAAAGAGACTCCTCGGAGTTCGATTGATATGCTGTCTGTGGTCAGCATACGGTTGAGGCCATGAAGACATTGGTAAAAAAGGGCTCTCCGGCAGTCGACGTCTATGGCCTTCGCGCGTACTCTAAGGTGCGGGTCGTCTATTTTGGAGATGAGCAGACACGAGGGTATTTCAATGTCTCCGCCTTCGACAACACGCACGAAAATCGGGCCATGATGTTGTCCTTCGAGGATGTTGTTCGTGATATCAGGCAATGGTGGATCGATAACCATCGAATCGAGGCCCCGAAAGGGTGTGGTCGCCGTTGGGCACCAAAAGAAGTGGCAGAATTTCTTAAGGGCCTCCATGGGGAAGGCATGCGACAAGGCGTTCGTGAAGCAGGCGCTCGAGAATGAGTACAGTAAGGATTGGAGCAATAAACTCCGTGGCTACATGAACCTCGCCACATCCACCGAGGCTGTGTGGCCACTAGTCGAGAAGTTCTTCGAGATGTTCAACGAGAGGAAGCTGCCAGTTGGCGATGGTAAAATACCGCTTGACATGCCGGGTAGGATGGAGGGGCGCCAGCCAAGGGGCAAAGAACATTATACCATTGCATATATGCGAGAGATGGTCCCAAAGGCTCCACCGTGTCGTTGAAGGATCTTTGTCCTTCCTACTTCAAAAATTTTGGGGATTTGACGTGCCGCGAGAGGGAAGTTGCACTGCTCCTCCTCTTGAAAGGGAAGGTGGTCGCGACGAACGTCAAGGTCATGCCTCCGAGAGTGAATACGGAGTGCCTCCTCGACATCATGCGCAAGGAACGATACATGGTCCTTATGTTCAACTACGTTGTTTTTCGCGCCGAGGGAAGGGCGGACGATGAGTGGAATAATGTCTTTTTCATGTCATACAAGGACCTCGAAGACAGGTATGGGCCTAACGGTCTCTGTGCAGCTGAATGGGATAAGGAACGGGACAAGCTGCATGTCAACAAAGTGAAGACGGTCCCTCGACGGCTTGGAGGGGTGGAGGAGGCAGGGCAAGGATCAGGCTTGGGCCCTACGGCGACAATGTATAAGGAGGCTCCGTTCCACTTTAAGGTGTTTGTATACACCTCAATCGATAAGCTCGATCTGCTTCGGGCGGAGGTCAAACGGGTCGCCTCTAGCGCACGTCATATCGTGTGGGATAAACTTAAAAAACAAACAACATTGCTACCGGTGTGCATGCCATTGAAGGAAGTGTTGGCTGCGCCAGACGACATCGTCGCTGCGGCGCAAAAAATGACCTGCAGGGCCGTCATCCTTGACATCTCCCCCGCTTACTTCTGCACGACATAGACCTCTCAAGAGTTCGATGCTCTGCACTCTATGGTGACTAAGTGTTGTGGCGTTAATTGGTTTTTTTTTGTCTTCGCACCACAGAAGGTGCAAAGTGATGTTCTGCGTTGCTTATTCCAGTGGGAGGACATCGAACTCATCCTCGCGACCTGGAAACGGGTGGACTGGCCATCGAATGACATCACGAGGTATGGCAATATCGCTACGGCGAGTCGAGACATGATGGCCATTGTCCTGCACGTGGAGGGAGGGGATCTGAGAAAGGTCACGGTCGCACCCCGCCTTGTCAATGACCTCACAAACGTGCATGTTGTGGAGTACAAGTTCGGGAAGCGTCTGGGGAAACACGGTGGCATAGAGGGCGATGAAAGTGTGGTGTATTCCATCTGGGAGCGAGAGCCTGGCAAGTTGCGTTCGTTGTGTGGGTCATTCGTCGGGGAGGCGGAAGGTGTGTTTTTATTGGGTAGGGCGCACGCGAGTCTTGTGTGGGAATTATTACAGGCAGGGAATAATGTCATTGCCTGTGACGAGTCGGCAAAGGACACTGCATACTTGACAAAGTTCATCGATATACTTGTCAAGGACGACAGATGCAACTGTCACATCGAGAAACCGTGTTGCAAACATCGTTCGAACAGGGACATGTTCCACAAGTTGGGGCCTAAGAGACTGAAGGTGTGGGAGTACTTGTTTCGCATTATGCCACAAGGACGGCTTGACGGGAAACATATATATAGGAAAGCAAAGGCAACAGAGACCCTCAAACATTATCACGGTGCTCTCACTGGCGCCTTTGAGACTTTGTTGCTCGATGCGAGATCCTCAAGTTCAATCTTCGCAAAGACAAATTGACGTCCAAGGACTACGCGGAGCTCGCGAAATCGGGCGATGGCTTTAACCCCGTCGAGAGCGAGGAAGATTCTTCGGACTCCGACCTCGAACAGGGCGAGGACACATGTGCTGAGGTTCCGTGCGGTGGAATGGTGTAAGCTCACGAAGACGGAACTGTCCATTCGCACGGAGGGTCCATCCCGGTGGCCGCCCCAAGCGTCGCCTTAATGGTGGCCCCGTCCGAGAGTGTTGCATTGCAAGACATTGGAAGATGCGGTGGCAATGAAGAAGACGACATTGAGATACCAGGCGAGGCGTCGACGCTCGCACCAGGCGATGCAATTCCTTCAGGCTACTGTGCTGACCCAGACACAATATATTTATTGGAGGGCAAACACACCCACACAGGCGAGGATGAGTGGGGCCATGACATCATATGGCATGAGGGCGTTTTACAGCCGTGCATCCAAGATGGGGAGTGGAAGATGGCGGTGAAATACACAAGCGGTTGGAAGACTTTTCGTTGGATGTCAAAGAACATCTGGTTGAAAACGACGGAACTCGCGATCTTGCATCGCGTGCGCGTCGAGAATCCAGAGCAGAGCGAGGCCGCCATCAAAAACAAGGCCGAAGAATTATTTCATGTCTTGCGCGACAATCGGCAACTGGAGTACAGCAACAAATTTTATGCCCTGCGCTCGAGTCCTTCGCGCGGGTCAATCAACTGGAAGGTTGATCAAACCGCCAGAACCTTGGAGGGGAGCTGCTCTCATGATTTCATGCCTTCGGCTGAGCCGGCCTCTGTGGCCGCGCAAGCAGGGCACAGGGGAGATGACGGGACTACTGTTGTCGGGCCTCAAGAGGTTGACATCACGTCTAAGCCGCAAATATCGAAAAAATCCATCTCGGTCACCGCGACACAATCGTCGTCACCCATCGATGTGTCAACGACGTTGCCGCCGGATGCAGGTGCCACGTACGGGAGTTTATTGATAACAAATGCTGCAATGCATCAGATCCGAGATCGAGTCAGAGTCTGATGTTGGGCCGAGCGTGGCGGAGAGTCAGTTGCAACCGTCTTTATGCACTGGCAAAGGTGATGCACAATCACCGCTGACACCACAGGGAGGGGCCGGTGGGGATGGCGGGAAGGGAGGGGATGTGGAGGGAATGCACCGTTCTCGTAACCTCAACACCTTAACCGTGGATATTGATTAAAAGGGTGAGGGTGGGTGAGGCGGGAGGGGTGCAATTGGAGGGGGAGAATCCAGTGATATGATTACAACTTCACCTGTGCCTTGTTGAATGAAATTGTGTAATTGACTTGGTTCGTTGTTTTGTTTAAAACAAAATTCGTATTAGTCTCCGTAGGCACCACTTCTACATCGTTTTTTCATTTATGTATTTTTTTTTTTTCACCTCAAATTTTTAATAGACCTGAGATGTTTAGATTGACTGCCCGTCTCGACGTACATCTCTCTCTCTCTCTCTCTCTATCTATCTATCTATCTATCTATCTATCTATCTATGTATCTATCTATCTATCTATCTATATATCTGTCTATCTCTCGTTTGTTGCGACATGGACGTGTGTTTGCAGGCGTACTATATAAGGGTTGTCGATCGATGCGAGGAATGAATGACTGCATATGTGAATCACGTTCATACAAGTAAAATATTAGAGAAATAATAAAAATATGCCTTGCATGCATCAACTCTCACAAAACATTTTGCCATGCACTCACAATACTTGCCCCATCCGCCCGCGTGAATATCCTCTTCCTCATCGTCTGTGGTGTACAGTACAAATGACAACAACAGATACAAGATTGTGCAAAAAAGGATGGACAATGCATCTAGCAAATTCGTCTTTATCGGACAGGGAGATGACAGCACTAGCGCATATCATTCGCAAATACGGGAATAGGTATCTTGTTGTCGGCACACAAGATGCGCACAATAACGAAGTGTTGCAACTCACTCGCAACGATTTTCTTTTACTCGCCGCCGAACAACAGTGGTTAAGCGACAACGTGATCAACTTTTATCTTAACCTCGTAGCATTAGACAACTGCTGTAGAATACAGCACGCAGAATGCGATGCGGATAATGAGATAGTCATTAGAGAAGGAAACGGTCGCATTCCCAGAGTATCAGTGCTGAGCTCGTTTTTTTGGGTCAAACTTTTCGATAATGACATGAGATATAGAGGCCGAGAGGTCGAACGCTGGTACCAGGATGTAATTATAAGTGACATGGATTTGATTATTGCTCCGTTCCATATCGCACATCAGGACCACTGGACCTTGGTCGTGGCTGACTTGAGAAGGAGGAAATTCGAATTCTACGACCCCCTCGACCCCGACAAAGAGTTCGCGTTAAAAGTGACCGGCGAGTTTGCAAAGTTTTTATTCGAAAGATCGAAATCGCAAGGCAAAGAGGCGGACATGAGACCATTCAATCACATATGGAATGTAGAGGGCATTCCAAAGCAACATGACACGAACGAATGTGGGGCCTTTGTACTCACGTACGCGTCACTTTTGGCACGGGGCCAACTTCCGCCTTTTTGTTTCACCGCATATGACATACCCGCGATACGTCGTCGGATGGCGTTGGACACAGTGGCTCGTGAGTAGTGTGTACGTGATATTATGTAGTATGATTGCGAAGAAAGCGGATGTGGTTGGCACGAGGTGGCGCTTGACAAAAAACAATGTATATAAGGTGTTAATTATTCCTCGGTGCACTGTGTCACTTGCCCCTTGCATGGTACCTTACACCTTACACCTTACCCCATACACCTTACACCTTACCCCCCTACACCTTACACCTTACCCCTTACACCTTACCCCTTACACCTTACCCCTTRCACCATACCCCTTATACCTTACCCCTTACCCCTCACACCAAAACGCCCATTTGTAATGGTTTTTGCACTTCAATCATCTAAAAAATGACAATTTCAATTTCGTTCAAAAAATATAAAATGTCCGTTTTGACGAAATCGCTGTTCAGAATTGTCCGACTTCGCGCATCTTTCATCCGATCCTCCCCCCGGTGATGGATCTGTTCCATCCCCTGATAGGTTCTCTGAAGCCAAGGTGTTGTCACACCTCATCGACGAACGGTTTAGTTTCCACTGCATAGCGTCCCACAACGGTTTTTCAAAAGACAGCTGGAGATTCTTCTCCTTTCGTTCCTCCACAGATAGATTCCAATACGATGGCTGTCCAGACGTGTGACACTTTTCGACGATGAGCTTTGCCGTCTGCAGCATGTTGGACCACTTCTTGCGGCAGTCTTCGACGGTCCTGTGTTTGAAGCCAACGTCCTTCATCCTATCGGTCACCCACGCATACCGCTCTTTGCTCTACTTGAATCGGTGTTGGCCGTTAGCATCCGCCATAAGGGCATCGTCCTCGCCCATAACGAATGCAAGCTTCGCTCGCTCGTCCAACGTCCATGGCACGCTTTGCTTCTTCTGAGCCGACGGTCGAGCATTCGCCAACCGCCTGCTCCCCTCCCCGCCTTCCGCACCCCGGCCCTGTGCATCACCCTGCTCGCCCATCGACCTTGCCATCACTGGAACAACACTTTCGTGCTCTGCATGAATGTCTTCACCGGCTCCTCCGGAAACGACAGTGCCTTCGTCGTACGGTGAATCCATGCGAGTCTCGAGAGACACCGGCCGCGTGTTCGTACGATACCCCGGGCCGTCTGTGTGAACGCCCAGCTGAGGAGATGGAGAACACCGCATGCCGAACGACCGCACCGTGCTCTGGGTGCATTGGGGAGACCAAGGTGTGCCACCCATGTCCATGTTCTGTGCGCCCGCCGCCGGCATGCCAAAACCTGCACCCATGCTCGTCACTTCTATGCATGCCCTCGCTGCATACAAATCGCACTGCTGTTGGACGGAGAAAGAGTGATCATCAACGGCGAAACCGCCGTCGTCCCACATGTCCACCGCTGGTGGACAACCACGCAGAAGGCCTGCATGCAACCTCTCGGGAGACTGTCTACCACACCCTCTATCGAAGGGCAACGACTGGGAAGGCGCACGTGAGGGGAAGTACTGACGTTGCACGGCTGGCGTTGATTGACGCACGGCGACGAAGGAATGCATGCTCGGGACCCGAGAATGGGGCCGTGCATGCACACGGCCGACGTGCATGTCAGTACTGCCATCGGAACGAACTTCGACGTCACCCGTCCAACGTGTGGACTCCATTACCGAATTGCCACCGGAGCACACCACGTAATCAACAATGAAAGATGGCACCTTTGGCCCTACCCGTACGGAGGATGACTACAGACGCCTGCAGAGAAGGCCAATGGCAACGAACGTGACAACTAACGACAAAAGCAAGACCCCTACCACGAAGACGAGGACGACAATGACTGCTACGCCCACAACAAGCAGCGACACACCGTCCACGTGGCCGCCACAACACGCGTTCGCCACGACGACAACCACATGACATCCCCTCACAGAACTGCAGCGACCTCCCCCACCAGACCCATGTGTAGATGGCGCCGTGCTGTCTCCGATCGCCATGTGTCCACTGTTGACGTGCACACGCTCTCCTGCACTTCTGCCAACATCCGCTTGTCGATTACACAATGGGGGACCTGCGCTGCAGGCTGGAGATCGCGGGGAATGGACGACGAAAGATGCGGATGGGGTTCTCTGTGGGGCAGCCATCGGAGTGAACGGCGACAACGACGTTCGAACAACCACGTCACCATAACCACTGCCACGGAAAGAGGCTCGCGCAGCTGCACGTCCGGAGCTGAACACAGGAAATTGCAGTAGCGTCCGGACCGCAGTGGAGGCATCCGAATGCGTCCAACGACGACTCCACAAAGGATGACCGTGGGACATGGAAGCACCTTGGACGGAAGCCACACGTCCGAAATGCGCAAGTCCTGTGAGTACTCGCATGGCAGATCGACCTTCCACCCGGTGCTCGAACGAAGAAGACAATTTCAGACCAGCAAGGTCGTGACAAAAACTGCGGCCACATGATCGACAGAGAGCGCAATGGCCTGTATTCCTTCTCTCCGCCCCAAGTACTTCTTGGCACGGTGGAAAATTCCGTTCAAACACCGTTTGAATTCAAATTTGCCGCTCCCGCGTTTCGAAATGCAGCGGGACCACGATGGGGGACCATCTGAAGGGACCGCGTACGGCCCGTTTGGACAAAAAGTGCGACACGACGTTCGACCGCTGCGTTTCGGCTTGGTCCGCACCGACGTACGAGACGCCCGTTTTGTGAACCATACGCGGCCGGCAGAGATGGAAACTTTTCGGCACTTTCGAGCCCCTACCTGTCTAGAGGACGTTTTGGAAGACGGCCGCCGGTTTCTGGCGGATATTTTCCAGCCGCCAGTCGAGTAGAAACACGGCCAGCAGTGTTTCCAGAATGGCAGTGGGGTCTGTAAAAGACGTTGGCATACCGCCGGCGGTGCATCTGGCGGCCCAATGGGGTCCGCAATTGCCCTTCCATGCCAAAACTTTTCCAGCCGCCGGCCAGTGGGGTCCGAGCCTTAGTTCTACCTATTCTTCTCACACCGTAGTGCAACCCCTGACGAGTGCCCGTTCTGGCACCGACCGAAACAACTGTCGGGTTAATGCTAGTGTGCTTCAAGACATGATGGTTCCGCCTTCAATTTTCGTTTACTTCAACGTTATATTTTTTGAGCTCCCGCGACCGTCCCACTCCCATTTTTTGGGCGAGGAAAAATCCCCGAACGCCTGCGGCCACGACCCAACTGCGGTGGTCCGCGGTCGCGGTTGAGATCCTGACCGATGGCTGGGATAGAGCCCACGGTGGCGACCGCGGGGGCCACATAGCCATGTGACAAAGTCCCCCCTAAGGCCATCTCCAACCTGCACAACCTTTTTAATTAAAAAATAAATAAAGAAAGAAAATGCAATCTGGACTGGGTAGGGGAACTGGAACTGGATCAGATCTACCGTGATTACCCAGAGAGCAAAAAAAGAAAGGGGACTCAAAAACTCGTACATGCACAGAAGTTGGTGCGTCACACTCATGCCCTCGAAAGTCATTCATTACTTGTGACCTATCCGCTCCATTCCCAAACCAGAATATGTACTAACTGCCCGAGCGCAGTTGATACACCCATGCACTGTTGAAATGCAGACCTGAGTTCGAAATCCAACAGAAACAGATGAATGAAAATAAATCGAAATTTACGGCTGCTCGGTTCGAAGATGATATCTAAGACCGTCGCCCTTTATTTCTAAAAGAAAAAGGAAGAACAGAGGAAAAGAAAGGAAGGAGTAAACGCCAGGGCACTCGGTATTTCAGTCGCCGGTAGGCTGGTTGTTGTCTAGGGGCGAGGGGGTTTTGGGACTGTAAGGTAGTGTGGTTGGCAGTGAATACCCCCGATCGGTGACCGCTCCATCCGTGGCCTTGGTCGCCAGCCATGACGGGGGCCCCCTGGTCATGACCGGCCCAGTCACAACCTTTGCGGCCACGTGGTAGCTGGTGGGGGGGGGGGGGGGGGGGGGGGGGG